TTTCTTTCTTTTTTTTTTCTTTTTTTTTTTTTTTTTTTTTGCGGAGCACAGACAACAATAATTTGGGATGCCCACACAGGAGAGGCCAAACAGCAGTTTCCGTTTCATTCCGGTGAGTATATTTTAAAATTTCCCTTTTTATTCTTTGTCATTCAAAAATAATAATTCAGAGTCCTAGGAGGTGTCCCTTAAAGTAATGGTGAATGCTTAGCGGATGGCATGCACGGAATATAGCTGGTAGGGAGGAAGCCCGTCTCACAGGAAGCACTGCTCTTGCGGTCTCCAACATACAGATGCCCTCGGCGCTCGTTTGCTCAAAAGTTTAAAGACAAAGCTGCGAACCAGCCCCAGAACTGGTGTGGGCTCCTTTCTGCTGCTGCCCCAAGGGCGCTGTGTCAGGGGCGTCCCTAAGACCTCGCCCAGCTTCAGCAGCTCACCCGGGAGGACTCCCAGGGCGTGCAGTTGAATTCATAGCTCAGATGTATTACAGTAAAAGGATACAAAGCAATGTCAGCAGAGGGCAAAGGCTCACGGGGCGAGATCCAGACCTTCCAAAGGTTGTGTCTCCTGATGGAGTCGCTTGGGACATGCTGGGTTCCCCCGGAAGCAAGCGGTGATCATGCGTGTGAAAGGTCGTGTGAAGTCAGCAGAGCCTGGTGCCCAGCATTTCTGGTTAGTAGGCGCCCTATGCCCGCCTGCACCCGAATTCTTCACTCCCAGGAGGAGCGTGGGATTCATTATAAACCACGTTGTTTGCACAGACGGTGGAGGCACAGAAGCTGTTCTTACCGGTTAGGGCACGGTGGGAAATCCGAAGTCCCAGACTCGGGCCAACGCCATCCTTGACGCCAAGCCTTCCTACAGGGAGCAGTGTCAGGGCTGCAGTGGTCTTGCCTGCACGGATGTGTAGCTGCTGTTCTCGACCACACACGTCTGTGTGTATGTTGGGTCCTCACCAGGCCACGTGGGGCAGCCGGGGGTCTAGGGAGGCCAGGTTCCCAGATTCCCACCTGATGCTTCATGTTCCGTGTGACTGAGTCCTGTTGTTAGATGTGGTCTCTTACCTTAGGACAGAGGTGGAAACTAATAAACTGTTAGGAGAAGCTGGCTTGAAGTCGACAGCAGGGGGTAGATGCCGCTTCCCTTCATGGGAGGCGTCTGCTCCATTGAGAGGGAATCGCTGAGTGTACAGGGTGAACATTTACTGTGTCAGGTGGCCCCGGGACAGTGTTTAGGAGGGGATCAGAGGGTCTTTCCTGCTGGGTATTTCTGGGTGCCTGGTGATGGTCTGAACCAGAGGACTGGCCCCGAGGGCTCCCCAAGATGGTGCATCTCCTCCGTGCCCAGGGAGGGCTCCACGCGGGGGACACGGTCCTGCAGGGAGCAGACTAAGCAGAAAGGTCCCGACAGGGCCTTGACATGACTGTGACAAATGCGTGGACGCCAGCGTCTGTTACTCCACGCGGCACTCCATTCCCTCCGGACGGAGGCAGACACGGGAGGCGCCGGCTTGCACCCCACTACCCTGGAGAGGCAGCCCATCTCTTCCCGGCTGTCCTTGGGACCACACCGGAGACACCTGCTGGGGCTGCCAGTGAATTTTCTTGTTGCTTTAATCTGATACCATTGATGATGTGGAAGTTGGTGAACGTTTTACAGAATATATTTCCCCACGAGGAAATGGACAGGGCTCCAAGAGCAGGCAGCTTGGCATCCCCGCCTGTGTCCGTGTGTGTGTATGTGCCTGTGTGTGTGTGTTTGGAGCGGGCAGAATATACAAAGCATTCACCACTGTCTAGTTCCACAACATTTCTGTCATCCCGTAAGGAGACCCCTTACCCATTAAGAACTCACTCTCCATTCCCCCTTTCCCCAGTCCCCAGCAACCCAGTCTCCAGGTTTTGATCTGTGTGTGTCATCTCCATGTCAGACATCTGTGCTGTAGACTCTGCAGACCAAAGCAAGTGAGTCTGGTGGATTTCCATCGTGTTTGGCATAAATCCCAAGACCATCCCTACCTTTGCTGTCAGGACGGATGCAGTGACAGGGCAGAGGCATAGAACACCAGGTGTGCTGACTTCCGTGCTCACGTGATGGGGGATATCTGTGATGAAGAGAGCTCTGCCTTCTGTTTTTCAGAGAATGATTTGCCCAAAATAACCATCAGTAAGGTTCGTCTAACAGTTTTATCTTAAGAATTCGTGTACCAAGGCTTCCAGCGGAAATTAGTATTCCCAGAGCATTCCCAAGGTCCATGGAATGGCTTTCCATCCCACAGACCACGTGTCTCTTGTGTCCTGAGAGAGCTTCTCACCTGCGGTTTTGCTGCCCATGAGGTCGACCCATATCCCATTGCTGGGTCAGGAAGCTCTGTGTGTTATTTGCTCTTTCTTTGTAGTGTCAGGTGGTGTGGTAGAGACTGTCCAAGATGGAAGGAAAGAAAGGGGGCTGTTTTTCAGGATGAAGTGCAGGCAGGGAGAGCGGTAGGGGCACCTTTCCTTGGCATTTGATGGGTTGATCTGTGAAACCGCCTTGCCCCGCAGGTGTTCGCCATGAAGGCCTGGTGGGGCGCGTCCGCTGTTCACCAACAGCAGGAAGTGTCAGCTCAGAGCCTCACGGTGTTCCCCCGCTCAGCAGTGACAAGGAACAGTTACCAGTAGACTATTGATAACACGCGACGGCTTGGATAGGTTCTCAAGGGGGTTCTGCCGCGTGGAAAAAGCCAGTCTCCACGGGTCACATGCTGGATGACGCCGTTTACATAACATTCTCGAAATGACGAAATTTTAGATGTGGAGCCAGAGTTGAGGGGTGGTCCAGGGAGGGCTTGGTGTGCTGATAACGTGGCACAGGGAGGTCCTCATGGTGATGGAACAGGGTTCTGGGTCGTGACTGCGGTGGTCGTTACACAGGCCTGCGCATGTGTTCAAACAGTGCCGCGCTGCACACACGTGGCGCCCATTCACCTTCTGGGTCTGGGCGTTGTACTGTAGGGGCATAAAATGCCACCAGTGGGGGAAGGGTACAGCGTGGGGCCTCTCTGTTACATCTTTGCAGCGTCCTGCGATTCTGTAAGCATTTCACAATTAAAAGTTTTTTTTAAAAAAAGCGAAGTAATGCTTGCCTGTACCTAGAATGCTGCTGGCGGTCAAACCTCATTGGCCAAGTGTGGGCAGGGAGGCCACACAGACCCCCAGAATAGCTAAGCCCTGTTACCTGTCCCCACCCACACTGGATGGTGAGCTCCTGGGGGGAGGGCAGCACCATCGACGCAGAATGGGGCCAGACACCTGAGTACACAGCATCCTCTGTTTAGATGGCAGGGGTTCAGCGCACGTAAATTCTTAACGGCCAGGTGCTGGTCACCAGCCCCCGAAACGCCTGCCAGATTGTCACTCTTCCAGGCGTATTAACTGCACACCCCACTGCAGAGGCTGGCCCAGGAATTCGTCATTTGGCTCGTGCAGTGTCGTAAACAGCAGCAGCTGGGGCTTTGCTCTTCACTCTCTGGCTCCCGGGAACATCCTTCTGACCAAGTGGATCCGGTTCCTTTGTTCCACTGGGCACACGTGGGAAATGCAGCAGAAACCGTGGGCCCGTGCTGAACTGCTCTGCAGGGGGTGTGACACACAGAGATGCACGCCCTGGGGTGTTGAAAAAGCCAGTACTGCCTCCCGGCCACATCCTCCCACCCGTAGCCTCTGTGTGGGGACAGAGCTGGACAGGGGAGCTAAGGGGATCCAGGCCTGCAGCTGTGGAAGGCTGGCGCGTGTGCACGGGTGCATCTCTTACTTGAAGGCTGAAGCGCGGGAGGGGCAGTCCGGGTTAGCGTATCCTGAGGAAGCTGGATTCTTCTAATTCAGTGCTGACCTGCCTGTAAGAAACACACGTGGGACATGGTTAGGGATCGATCTGTCAATGAAGATCTCACCAGGGGCTTGCAGGACTTAACCCTCTGTTTGCCCAGAAGCAAGCAAGTGTGTGGAGAGAACAACGATGCTGAGCAGTCTCCCGGGGAGGTTGGGGGAAGGGAAGAGGGCCGTCACCATCCCCCAAACCACACAGAGCTCTTGGAGCCACTTGCCCCTGAGAAAGGCCCAGGAGCCAGAGGCAGTGTTCACCATAAGTGTTCACTTGTGTCCCCTCAGGCTGTCCCCTTGTCAACGATAAGCATCCTCCAGTTGGTGGAATGCATTAATTGTGTGGTGGGGGATTTTTTTGGGCCGCGGCACGTGGCCTGCGGGATTTCAGTTCCCCAGCCAGGAGTGGAATGCGGGCCCTCGGCAGTGAGGGCGCAGAGTCCTAACCGCTGGACCACCAGGGAAGTCCCTGTGGGAGACTTTCTCGGTGCGGGTACCTTGAACATAGGATGTGAAATCTTCCTTTCCTCTCTATCTAAAGCCAATCCAGTCAGCCCAGCACAGTGATATTCCTGCGAGCGGCAAGGTGCGGGACAGCCTGCTTCTCTCCTGCCCTGTCTCACCTGTGCCCGCAGAGCAAGGGACTGCGCTTATGGCACCTGAGCTGTCACGGAGTCTTGCTCCGGAGGCCTCTGGGCATCCCTCCAAATGTGAAGGACAGACTTTCAGGTCTGGGGGGGGACAGAGGCTGTGTTCACACTGGCGGTGCTGCTTTATCTTGTCCTTAGGCATCTTGACTATGCTGTTACTTGTTCTGAGTCACCTGAGCTCTGTGCACAACTGCTAAATGCAAATGTTCCCCCCTGACCTTTTGCTGCTCCACAGCCCCTGCCCTTGACGTGGATTGGCAGAACAACACTACATTTGCTTCGTGTAGCACAGACATGTGTATCCATGTCTGCAGACTCGGCTGCGACCGCCCGGTCAAAACGTTCCAGGGACACACAGTAAGTGCGAGCTCTGACTGTGGGGCTTAGGTTCGTGCGAATGTGCTGGGAGCTGGGAGCTGGCTCCTCTCTGCCTAGGCTTAAAGGATACTGTGACTGCAGACCAGTTCTTCTGCAGCCCACTGCTCCTTGGGCTGTTGTAGCTATCTCAGGTGATTGGCTAACCCAGTTATCCATCTGGGAAGGCTTTAAAAAAAAAAAAAAAAAGTGACCTGAGGTGAGCCAGATGTTGGATTTTGCAGGAAAGACTTTAAAGTAGCTATTATTAGACTGTATGAGGAAATAAAGGAAAGGCTGTTTGTAATGAGTGAATAGATGCGGAAGGGCAGCAGAGGAAGGAAAACTTCTTAAAACAGTCAAGCGGAAATCTCAGAATTGAGAGGTAGAATGTCTGAAGTGAAAATCTTAAATGGCTGGTGGAGAGAGTGCAGAAATAAGGTTACTGAACCTGAAGAGAGATCACAGAAACGAGCCAGTTTGAAGAATTGATCAAAGATTGAACAAATGAACAGAGGCTTAATGACCTACGAGACAGTGTGAAGCACTCTAGCATATATGTGTAATGGAGAGAGAAGAAAAGAGAATGGAACAGAAAAATTGTTTGAAACGGTGATTTTGCCACATTTTCCTAAATTTGGTGGAAAACATCAACATTCAATCCAAGAAACTCAAGACACCAGCTGACTTCTCACTGAATTCCTTTTTTTAATTAATTAATGTTTTTAATCGAGGTATAGTTAATTTACAATATTATTTAAGTTTCAGGTGTACAACATAGCGATTCAAATTTTTAAAGATTATAATCTATCTATAGTTATTATAAAATATTGGGTATATTCCCTGTGTGTCCAATATATCCTTGTAGCTTATTTATTTTATACGTAATAGTTTGTACCTCTTAATCCCCTCCCCGTCTTGCCCCTCCCCCTTCCCTCTCCCCAGCAATAACCGCTAGCTTGTTCTCTGTATCTGTGAGTCTGCTTCTTTTTTCTTATATTCACTAGTTTGTTGTATTTTTTTAGATTCCACATATAAGTGATAGCATACGATATTTGTCTGACTTAGTTTATTCACTAAGCACAGCACCCTCCAAGTTCATGTTGTTGCCAGTGGCAGAATTTCATTCTTTTCTTGTCTGAGTGGTATTCCGTGTGTGTGTGTGTACCACATCTTCCTTATCCATTCATCTATTGATGGACACTTAGGTTGCTTCCACGTCTTGGCTATTGTAAATAACGCTGCTGTGAACATTGAGGTGCGTGTGTCTTTTCAAATTAGCATTTTTGTTCTCTGGATGGATCATCAGATCCTCCCGCATAGCCCATGAGGCTCTTCGCAGCCTTTCCCTGGCAGATCCCTCTAGTGTGCAACGCCCCCGCCTCTACCCCGGTCCTCCTGGAGGACCTGTTGGCTTCGAGCACCTCACACCTGCACTGTTCCCCACCTTTGACTCACAGCGTCCCTTGCCACTAACTTACCTGACATAAACTGCATTGTCCTTGGCACTTGCCTGTTTCCTTAGTACCCACTTTCTCCAGCTTCTGTCCCTACAGGTCCCTGCTTCCAAAAGAAGGTTCTTTCAGAGCCCAGGGACCAATTGTCCTGTTAACATCTTGTCGTGGCTATAAACAGACCCTTCTTTTTTAATTTTTCTGACCTTAACTTATTTCTCCTCCACGCCTGGACCGTCCCCGAGCTTTTACTAGGAAATCTTTGTGACTTGCCAGCTGCCCCGTTTGGGACTTTCATGCCATCGCACCACCTGGCTCTTTAAACGGGTCTCATTGCAGCCCATCATTCCACACAAGCTGTGAACTAAATGTAATCGAGCTGATTTCTTCCCGAGACCCTGTGTGCCGTTTCTGGTTGTTTTCTGGGAATTGTGACTTGGGCTCCAGAGGGAGGGAGAGGAAAGTCCACTTTCACCCTGGAAGATGGGAGGGGGTTCGACTGGGGACAGTCAGTGGGCACCAGCTCCCTCTTGCAGGCAGACCCTTGGAGATGCGCCCTCGGGTTCTGTTCTCAGCAGTTACACTCAGTGTGCCTCCCACGCTGCCCTTGTCCCTGGTGCGCACTGTCACCAGGCACTGCTTCTCTTGGTGTCCTCCTGGGTCCGCTTGCCTGTGCACACACACTCAGTCCGACTGCCTCGACCTCCCGGGCTCACCCACAGGCCTGCTCCTTGTACTTCAGGCTCCAATCCCTCCCTTTTTTTCTGGGCCTTCCACCGCGGGTACCACATGGAACACAGACGCAGCCTTATCCCTCCGTGTCTCGCACCGTTCAACACTCAGTGTCCTTAGGAAGTAGCGTGACCGTTACCATTTATCATCCAAACCAGAGCACTTAGCAGCATGGGATTAATTGGGAAGTTAATTATGAGTGTGAAATGAGTTAATTGTTAGGCTGCAGCAACAGGCATGAGGGAACGGGACGGGGCTCCACGGTCCCCCTACTAGAAATGGGAGGCCCGAGACCCGCGGCTGGCTCCCGCCGTCTCTCCCCGGCCCACCCCGCCAGGCACATCGTTCCCCGCCTCCACTCAGCTGCAGGCGGCTCCCTTGCCCACGGGAGCATTTGCCTCGTCCTCCAGGATTTAGCCTCGAGGTCCCCTGGCCCCCAGAGCCTGAATGTTCCTTTCTGCGCCTCCCCCCCACCCCGGTCCCCTTCCCACACTGGCCTGCCTGCTAGAGCTTTCCATGTGTGCCGAGTTACAGCGTTCTGTTTACCTGGCTGTTTGCTCTGGAAATAGCCAGGTAACGTGTGCTCGTCTGCATGTGTGTGTTCAGGTCACACCGTCTTGGGCCTGGGTTTAGCCCCCGGTAACCTTGCTGCTTTACGTTTCCTCCCCCTCCACTCAGCACCAAAAGAGAGATGATGTCCTGACAGATTTGGACAGAGCGGGCAGCTGTTGTATCAAGAGTGGGCAGGAAAATGACTTTCCGAGTCAGCTTTAAAATAACTTACTGGTCTTCCTGGTTTTATGTGCTGCCCTTACTCTGTGTAAATTCATTCGGCTTCCTTCCTAGTTGTGATTTTTTTTTTTTTTTCCTTAGAGAACTAAGATGAGGGTGGCTGGTTATGTGTGGCATACGCTGTGCATTTTGTATCACCGAGCTAGGCGGAGTAAGGAAGGGGGGCATATGCACGCAGCCTGGGGCATGTTCTTTTCTCTCCAGGGTGGATGCAAGTAGGCTTTTTGCAGAGAGGACAGTGCGCTCCTTCCCCCTGCTGGAAGGTTGTATTACTGCGCCCAGGCCCTTCTTTCTTTTTGAAACCCTTTGCTCTCTTTCAGAATGAGGTCAATGCCATCAAATGGGACCCTTCTGGGATGTTGCTAGCATCCTGCTCTGATGACATGACATTAAAGGTAAAGCATTCTAAAAGGCTGAGCCGTTTGATCCCAGACGACCCCCTGTACTCAGTGCTGGTGTTAACATTCACTGCTCCCCCAGCTGCATATTTCTGTTCTGAGCGCTGTTCCCACTTGGCAAATGGCAAAAGTCGCTGTCCTGCAGTGACCTCCCGCTTCATCCTGCCCTTCCCGCGGCCTTTCTCATGGGCGCCCCCTAGGGTTCAGCCGGCCCCTCTGCTGGCCAGTCGGCCAGCTGCCCACCCCGCTGGGCGTGAGCTTCCCAGAGGCGGGAACCTGAGGAGCGCTCCCAGCAGGGATGGTGGAGAACCTCCCCCGGTGGGAGAAGCAGCCGTTGCTCACCTTGTCCCCAATATGTTCTCTAGATCTGGAGTATGAAGCAGGATACGTGTGTCCATGACCTTCAAGCTCACAGCAAAGAGATATATACCATAAAGTGGAGTCCCACCGGGCCAGCCACCAGCAACCCAAACTCCAGCATCATGCTAGCAAGGTAAAGGGAAGACAGCCCTCAGCCCGGTCTCGGTTCCTAAAGGCAACCGTGCTCACTGTGGCTGAGCCAGCAACATGGCCGGGAACAGTTATTCATATCCAGAGAGCCCAGAAAATATTGCCAAGTTGTCTTCCAAACGTGCGTACACCCTTCCAAAGTAAATGGAGAGGCGGCTGATTTTGAAAGGGCCCCGAGACATAAATTATCACGTGATGGCTAACTTGAGGTAAGGACGGTCTTAAGCATGAGGCTGGTGGGGAGGAATCAATATATGGCCAGGCCCCCGGCACTTTGCTTTCCTAATAGAGAAGGGAAACAATTCAGCTTGGACCTTGGGCTTGGTGTACTTGGTTCAACTTGAAGCTACAGGTGGTGAGAATGCTGAATGGTGATAAAGTCTCCCCAGCCGCAGCCAGATCTGACCTGTTTATACAGTGAGCCCCCCACCTCCCGCCAAGACACCAGCATTGGAGGCAGAGGAGTGGCTAGTCAGTCAGATGCCAGAATTGAGAAGAGTGGTTCTAAGTCACCACAGTGGCCTCCACAGAACTCCCATCACTTAGGCTGCGGTCAGCAGACTTGTCCCCGTGCTCACTGGACCCCATGCAGGATATAATGTTCCAATCCCAGTATGATATTTTAACACGAACCTTTAGAAAAACAAACTAAAGAGATTCTGAGGCTGAATTTCCGGATTACTTAGGGGTCCAGAGACCATGATCCAACAGAGCGTGGGTGTGTGTTTAGCTGTTTGGCCTGGGAAAGACCAGGCTTGGAAGGAATGTTTCCCTGCCAGGAAGCAGCAGTGGGTTTGTTCTGTATAGGTGCAGAGAACAGGGTTGTGGGGAGTAGTGGCAGGTGGCATGGCCTTCCTATAAATGAGGGAGAGCCCTCCGTCTTTGTTGTGTAGCCGTGGGGTGGGCGGCCTCGCCAGGCAGCAAGGACTCTTGCTACTGAAAGGACCGACCCCAGGCCATCTCTTAGAAAACACTGGACGGAAGTCCCACGTCGGCTGAAAGGCCGATCCAGAAAAACACGAAGGCCGTTACTCTCTTATTTCAAGTAACTGTCCTGAAATCCACTTAAATGTCTAGGGTACAGAACGCTATCTTTTCCCTCGTTTTATAACTTGGAAGGTGTTTCGTATCACGTGGCACCCGTTACGAGCGTAAGCGATCCTTCTACTTAACAAGCATAAAGGGACATGCTGCTGCCCTGTAAGTCCCTGCAGAGAGAAGGAGTGCCGGGTAAAGCATCTTTGTGCTGTGTACTCTTCTTGCAGATTTGGAAATTACTAAAATTTGCAGCTCCCAGGAGTGCGATTGTGTATTTGGATGCGATTATATTTTAGTTCTGTACTTGCTCGGTTTGCTATTTCCCCAGATGCGGCTCTCAGCACTGTTTTAGTTGGCAACGATAGACGTTGTGTTGTAAGTTGTGGGAGCACTTTAGAAAATGTAGTGAATACAAAAATACATATCATTCATATCTTAGAAAAACACACAGACAGACGAGTGTGGATGTCAATTTGTTTCCCTCGTAACAGCACCCAAAAAAAGGAGGAGGGGATTTTTACGACCGTGGCTTTGTTTTCAGTATATCTGGTTCACGTTTTAGAAGAGGAAAGACTGTACCCGCTTGTCGTCTCTCGAAACGTAAGAGCCAGGAAAGGATAGCAGCGCCCGCTGTCCGTGCCGCGTCTTAGGGAAACAGTCGGGAACCCGCGTGTGTTGTGGTGACGTTTTCCCTCCCGTGTTTCCAGTGCTTCGTTCGATTCTACAGTTCGACTGTGGGACGTGGAGCGGGGCGTTTGCATCCACACGCTCACCAAACACCAGGAACCGGTCTATAGTGTAGCTTTTAGCCCCGACGGGAAGCACTTGGCCAGCGGCTCCTTTGACAAGTGTGTGCACATCTGGAACACTCAGGTAATCCCCCGATTCCCACCGCCCAGTCCTCTCCAGAGGGAGCGCCCCCACAGTCGTGTTTTTGGTGGCCCACGCCCGGAACAGCAACCAGGGAATGAGTGTGTGCTCAGGAATGCCTCACCTCAGACGCGGAGCCGTGACACAAACCCCAGGTCCCCGGGTGGACCCCAGACCCAGTGTCATCTGCCCTGTGCTCCGTGGGGGCGGGCGGTCTTCGCCGCCAGGGACGCCCATCGACTCGTTACTTTTTCGGAGTCCTTGGCAGGTAAGCCTTCCACCTGCCACTTCCTTCTCTTGGGCACGAGGAGTCACCTTGGAAAACCGTAACCCAGTCATCTTCCCACCCGAGACGCTGCCCTGTGGGTACTGAGGTCTAAGTCAGAAGTGTCGTTCCATCGGAGCTTTCCAGGGGGAACGGCCGTCCGGGGGGAGGCCAGCCCTGACCGCCTCTGCTCCACATCACCTTCTGTAGCTTCTACAGGGAACAAATCGAGGACCATGGGGCATATTCGTTGGCTGTTGTCATGGCATTTTGATTTTTTGAAGGGAAGTGTTTTATGTTTGGGTAGCAGCAAGAGTGTCCCTGTTGGTTATGCTGTCACAGAAGTAAAAGGAGACGGTGTTTGAGGATACTGGGCTCTTGTGTCTCCTGCTAATGGAAGAGAGAAATGTGCTATGGGAGGGATCACTGCAGCCAGCCAGCGATCCATCCTGTGTGGCCTCAGGATGGATGAAGTGGCCTCTCCTCTCCTGGTTTTTGGGGTTTTTTTTTTTTTTTTGGTTTGTTCCGTTTTGTCTTTTGTTTTTGTATTTTTTGGCCGCCCTGTGCAGCACGCGGGATGTTAGTTCCCCGACCAGGGATTGAACTCGTGCCCCCTGCAATGGAAGCGCGGAGTCCTAACCACTGGACCGCCAGGGAAATCCCTCCCCTCCTGTTTGTTCCCACGCTCCTTCGTGATTCCTTTAGGCCTGGGTGGCATTTGGATGAATGTACTTTCTCAAGCCCACGCCCCCTTGTGGCTGGTGCAGGGGGGCGGTGCGGGAGCCACGGTAGCTGGCGGGGCAGGGTGGGGGGTGCCCGAGGGTGGTCCACTGAGACCTCAGGCTTCCCAGGAGCCGCCTCACATGCTCATGTCTTTTCCGCGAGTAAGAGGCGACGGTGGCCCTTACGTGGAGCCAGCCTGGTGCCGAGGCCAGCCTTAGAGCCCCCGATGGGCCACCCGGAAAACAGACATTAACGTGTAGCGGTCTGTTCATGGAGCTCTTGCTGGAAATAGTGATGGATGGATTTCTGAAATGACATCATCAGTTAGGTAACTCCTGCTGTCAGCAAGTCATTAAATCATTTTACCCCTTTATTTATTTTTTTTATAAGTCACATAACTCTTTAAGACATGTCGAGGGTCTCTTTAATCCTCAGTGCGATGGACACCTTCTCTAAATATAAACACATGCGTGAACTTGTTGACGTGCCCCTTCCCCGGCTGCCTCAGTCCCCCCGCCACCCTCAGTCGCTGGCCCCCGGGAATGACCCCTGGGAGGCGTGACCTCGGCTGCAACATGTTTAGATCGACTCCGCGGGCTGCCGTAGGTCAGCTGTGCCCCCCGTGGCAGCAGGTCTGAGAGGCGCGTTACGGCCACTGAAAACTCTGTTAGCTTCTGTGTTTGAAAGTTTCTGTGCTGACGCCCTGGGGGTCCACGTCGGCGCTCTGCATCGCGAGTGATGGTGGCTTTGCTTTGCAGAGCGGAAGTCTCGTCCACAGCTACCGAGGCACCGGCGGCATCTTCGAGGTGTGCTGGAACGCCCGAGGGGACAAAGTGGGCGCCAGCGCGTCGGACGGCTCCGTAAGCAGCACCCGTAGTTTCCTGGGGGGCGGAGGGCTCGGCGGTGGAGACGCGAAAAGTCAGACCCCTGATACCTGCGGGGGCTTCCGGCGCTGTGGTGGCCTCCGAGCGCCGCGCCCAGTGTGTGTTGGTGAAGGAAACTTCTGGGCTGGCACCGCCTCCGGGAGCAGCCGTCTCTCTGACTTCCTGAATGACGTTTTCTCGGTGAAATTGGTGGTCCGCAACAGGGGTGATTCTGCCCCTGGAGGACATCTGCAATGTCTGGAGGCGTTTTGGGTGCCACCGGTCTGGTCGGGGGGCTACTGGCATCTGGTGGGCGGAGGCCAGGGCTGCTGCTCAAACCTCCTACAGCGCACGGGATGCCCACAGGAGAGACGTGACCGGCCCCAAGGAGCGCAGGTGCCGAGGCTGAGTAACTTGGTCCTGTCTTGGCTCCCAGCCTGCTGGGCCCTCTGGTGATAAAGGCCCGACTTGGCATTCCACAGGTCTCCGGGGTCCCAGTGGCCCTATGTTGATCCCCTAAGATGTCTAGCTTTTGGATTCACGCCTGCACTTGGAATTGCCATGAGCTGTAGGGCAGGTGGCAATGGGCTGGCTGGCCAGATGTCAGCCCGGCCCCCAAATGTGTGTTCAGGCGTGATTTGCCCTCTGCCCCGCCATGTCAGTGTCTGGTCTGTGACACCTGCCGATGGCTGTGGCCACCCCATTAGTTCCTAGCATAGCCCTTGACCTGGCTGTTCCCCTCTGTCCTGTTTGCCTGGGGTTGGTTGGTCAGATGCTCAGACGTTAGTCTGTCGTTAGAGATGCTCTGAACCCTCTCTACCGTGTACCAATAAAACTTTGTCAGAAGTGGGTAACAGGCTGGATTTGGTCCATAGGCCGTTTGCCATCCTCTGCCCTAAAGGCGTCTTGTGTCGTGTCTCAAGATAACAGGAGCTTTCTCTTTCCTTCCAGGTGTGTGTCTTAGATCTGCGAAAGTAAACACGAAATATTTTAGAAACAAGAAGAGAATTCTAATGGACCAGCAGTGAATGTGTGGGGTTGTAGCACTATTCAAACACGATCCTGTCAGCTCCAAAGCTGTACGAACTTGACCTTAGAGTGTACTTTGAAATCAACTCATCCCTGGCCACAGGAGTCTCTATTTTTTTGTAATCTTTATCAAGAAGTTTAAAACAAAAACATACACACAGTCATATCAAAGGGGGACAGAATGGTTTCCACCTGGAACATTCAGCCTGGGAAGCATGAAGCCACCAGCTAGACGGTGCACGGGTTGGTTTCCATCCAGACAGGCTCTGATGGCTGAGAGGAAAAGAAAAAAAAAAACAACCTGTGCCAAAAAGAAAAAGAAAAAAAATGCTGTGATAAACCAAAAGGGGGGTGGGGAACTCCTCACGTGGTGGGGTTTTTTTTTTTTTCCTTCCTAAAAATTTGGACACTACAGTTACTCTCACAAGGATGTTCAAAGACCAGTTTGTACGGATGAAATGGGCAACTTTGTAATCCCAACACTTTCTATTTTCTAGACTCTGTCACGTGGTTTTTCTATGGGCTGGAATCCTGTCGTCTGGGGGCCTTGGGTCTGAGGTGGAAACTGTTTTGGGTTTGTTGCTTCTTTGCTGATGTCGCCTGCCCCCTCCACCTCCTTCCTTCCTTGGTGGTCTCGGTTGGCATCACGCCCTCACAGAGTCTCTGACAGGCGGGGCTTTCTTGCCCTCCCCTCCCCTCCCCTCTCCCCCTCGCGCACTCTCTCCGCCCCTTCCTCATAGTTGCTTCCCATCTTAGGTCTCAAGGGCACTTTTGGCGCATAATAAGTGCTTTATGTAAGAAGGCAGGGGGCCAGGGGGACTTTTTACGGGAGGAAGAAAAAAGTAAGTGACTTATAAGAGAAAGAACCCAGAGTATTTTTGGAGAAAAAAAAATATTTTTATGTTAAAACAATTTTAAAATCCTAAAATGGCCATCAGACATAGAGAGCTTTGTGTGATTCATATTTTAAAAAAAAAACAAAAGTTTAGGAGGACACAGGCAGGGTCTGAGGTAGCTTTTTCCCTTCACTTTCAACTTCTCGAGGGCAGTGAGGAATCTGTGTGGGAAGGGGCCAGCTCTGGGGTCGGCGCTGGGACTGTTCTGCGGCCAGAGAGGAAAATCCGGGCCCTTCCAGCTCGAAGACGACCTTGGCATGTTTCAGGGTGTGTTGACCACATAGTAGGCGGCAGGAGAGACCTGGAGAAGCGTGCCTTCGGACCCAAGAAGTGTTCCCAGGACCAGCGGCGTGGAAGGGGCCGTCAACAGCCATCCACTCGGCCAGATGCTGCCTGGCATCGTTCAGGCCGCGGGGCCTCCTGTGGTCCCACCAAGAGCACCTTGGCCGGTCCTTGCACAGCTGACTGGACGGGCTCCAGGATCTCACTGGGTCTAATAACGACAAAAACGAACAGGGAGAGAGGTTTTCCGTCCTGAAGGTGAATTCCGTAGGTAGAGTGTCACTAATAATTTCTGTCCTCTTCTTGGTTTCTTCCTCTTGCAACAGAGGAGGAGAAAGGTTTTCTTTTTGTAATAATGAATCTTTTTACTGTTTTTAAAAAATTAAACGTGGCTTTGTGTTCCTAGAGGAGTTTCCTTTCATTGGATCAGGTGACCTTTGTACTTTTGTTGTCATAACCCGACGCTGACCCATCTTTTAAATTAGCAGCGGGGGAAGCAGCAGAAGACAGGGCCTCTGGGTTCATCCGTCTTCCTGCAGGCACAGGCCGGGCTGGGGCAGGGGGCCGGGCCCGGGGGGCTGGCAGCAGGCAGGGTGCAGCCGTGTGTGTGTGTTCCAGCAACAAGGCCCATGTCACTTAGAGGGTGCTGTCTGTCCGTGGAGTCAAAAGCTAACGGGCAGAGCAGACCAGGCCTTCCTGCAAAACTTGGGTTGTCCCAGGACCAGCCTCAAAAGCCAGAGTGCATTCATCTTTCTCGGATCATTAATGGGCCTCCATGGATCTGCGAGTTATTCAAGCCCCGTCTGTAGTAGACCAACAAGTGCTCTGTTTATGTATGAGTGGAGCATTTTATTCGGGATCTGTTACCTAAACGCTTGGCCTTTAAGAAGATCAAAGTTCTCCAGAGTCTCCACTGCCATCTGTGAAGATGGCAGACATCCCCGGGTACACTGGTAATGCCCTGCCACCAAGAAGTTACTAGGTTTGGGGTGCAGTTTGGGGGGATCTAGACGAACACCATCTGGACCCCCTCGCCCAATGAAAATGTGTCACCCCTGCAGGCATCAGCTGTCCAGGGTCAGGACACAGTTTGAGTTTGACAAGCCAAAGCCTGCTGACGGGTGAGGACAGTCGGTTTGCGACACAGTGCTCACCGGACGGTCGGTCCCCAGGGTCTCCAAGCGCTGACTTTAGCCTCTTGGTAAATCTGAACCAGTTGGGACTTGCCGGGTTGGAGCCGAGGGCTGTGAGGCCACTGACACGGGGGCTTGATCCCTGGCCTGGCAGTGACCTGAGGCTAAGGAAGGCAGACCGTCCGCGTTCCTGGCGTCCTCGGCCGGCCACTGGGAGGGAGCCTCCCAGGGGCCCCAGGGAGGCAAGATGAGGAGGCAGCCAGCGCCCCTGGAAACCCATCCCCGCTCTCAGCAGGACGGCAGCCGTGCCCTGAGCCACACACGCTGCCCAGCAGCTGCACCATGCCAGCCAGCGCTCAGCGGACGCGTCCCTGTCATCGGTGCCCCGTGGCTCGTGTTAGCGTTGGACATCGTTTACAGCTTCTAACACTTGGAAGTAAATGCTTCAGTCTCAGTGACCAAATGGGACCTTGATTCTGAAAGCAGGAGTAACACAACGATCCTCCCCGGAATCTTCGGTTGGGTTTGCAGTGACTGAGAACTCATTCTGTGCACACCTGGGAAAGGGATGCTGCCCCACGGGGCACATCTGACCCCACAGGACACCCAGAACGTGACGTTCGTTTTGTCTTTCTAAAAATAGATCTTGGAGCCACGTGAAGTGCACTTTGTCAGGCGTAAGGGTCTGCGTTTGTTCCTTGTTACTTGTCTCTTTTAACCTTCTGTTCCACCTTTTTTTTTTTTTTAATCGTGTTTCTTGCCGAATGCAGAATCGTTCCTTCCGCCGCTCACTGAGGTGAATTCTGGCTTCTGCGGTTTTTATTGTCTGTGTCAGACGTGCAGCCAGATGTGCTTCTGTCCGCGTTCTCCAGATCCTGTTCCATCCACACGGCCCCTGTTTCGTTCTCCCCCACCGCCCCTCACCCTCTCGCCCTCCCAGAAAGAATCACCTTGTGCGTCATAGCTCATTTGTTTCAAGAGAGAATCAACATCATATTCAGTGTCTTGAATAAATTGCTCTATTTTGATAGAGAACTTGGTGGGTGTGCTTTCTTCGTCTTGGTCGGCACCTCTGGGGCCCACGCTGACACCCCTGAGTGTAGACGGAGCTCTGTGTTTTCTCCAGGAAAAAATGGGAGGGCCGCTTTCGGGGTCGCGATGGCAGGAGGGTCAGCTGCCCCGCTACGATATAAAAGGAGCAGCATGCTTTTTAGTACGTTTCCTTTGTGTTACTGTGTTTCCGGCTGGCTGTTGGAGAAAGTCAAAGCGGATGAATTTTCTCCTGTCAAGTGGGGTTGGTTTGCTGGGAGCTGGAGTTCAAGGATGAGCTTTGAGTAGTTAGCAGAACCTAAGGTGGTAGGATACTGGTGAGCAGACACTGGGCGCAATGCAGACAGACGTCTGGAAACGTTGACGGAGTCTGCTCTGTGCCAGCCCTGGCCAGGTGTTTCCATTGATGCCACTTTCATCAGTGAACGGATGTGACATAATTGAATTGAGCTGCTGTCCCCGTGGTAGGCAGACGCAGCGAGACGGGCTGCGTTTGGCTGTACACATGAGTCACAAAAGAAGGTCGTGGTGCCATTTCCTCTAATCCCAGCTTGATCCTGGGCTAGAACAGAGCCAGGGGCTGGCCCACCCCTTCCTCCCTCTGCCCCAGTGTTGTCTGGGGTTCAGCCTTGCCTGGTTTTGTTTTTTTTAAGTCTTGCCAAGTTGACCAAGCGTGTTCCCACACGGTGGATTTGGGGTGAAGCTCTGAGCACCCCAAGCCCTGCTGCTAAAGCCACGGGGAGGCCCCGGGGAGACGTTTGTAGCAAACACAGTGGGCTTGCACAGCGCGGGGCAGAGCTTCCCGGGATAGATGCGTGTGGGACGCGGGCTTTGGTGGCTTCAGCAGCGGTGCTGGTGGCATATTCATAGCTTCGAAGGGGTTTCTGGGTTGAATCCAGGTTGTCCAACTTTCATCTTCAGATGCATGGAACCCATTGCTGCCGTCATTCTAAAAATGTTTTGTCCATTGAGGCTCCCACTTTATTTCGGGAATCCCAAGTTTCCCCTCACTGCACAGAGACCTTTTTTTTTTTTTTTTTTTTCCAACTGCCCACGTCTGGATGCTGTTCCTAAAGGGCCCTTGAGGTGTTCTTCATATTCACAGAAAGGTTTCTGTGCACCTGTGGACGCTGGTGGTGTTCACTGTTGGTGTTGGTGGAAGCCTGGAAATCACTTGGTGAGATGCATGAAATGGGCTGGGAGGGGGTGGGAAGCAGATAACTACCCTTACAAAAAGACTCAGAATTGGGTGGAATGTTGTTTTTGTTTTTTTTCTTCCAGTCTGGCTCCTTTTTCTCCCAAGTGTCTTCATCCATTTGCAAGGTAAGCAAAAGAAGATGCAGCTCCACCTGGAGGACCACGTGGGGGGTCGCGGGGAGGGGGACCTGTGATGGGGGAGGGCTTGGGGAGCCTCGGGGTGGGGGAGGGCAGGGGGCGGTACCCATGGTGGAAGGAAGCAGGGACTGTTACAGTATTACCTTCTCCTAAAACTTGAAGTTAATCCGCTGGGGGATGGGGACTCCTATTAGGAATATACTTACCCTAGAGCAAAGTTCTTGAGAGAAACGGCCACCAGAAACACAACTGTAAACGACGAAGAGGGTATCTTTGGAATAGGGGGAATAAGTAGACTCATTTAAACGTTTCTTACGGTGTGGTAAATAAACTGGCCAATAAATTGAAATCAAACAGAAGCCACCTGATAGGAGCAGGCTTATCTTTCCACCCAAGCTACACTCCCAGCTACACCTGTCACGTCCAAACTCCTGGTTCTGGGTCCCAGTTCCCTCCCCTTTTCAAGAACCTTCCCATCTCCCATCACCATCGGTTCCTCTCCCCTAGATCTTTCCCCTTATCCGTCTACAAAACAATAACATAGCAGCCCCCTGCAGCAGCCAGCCTTACAGGGAACTTGCTTAAAGCTAGGCGTGGTCTGTCGTGATCTGCTGTGCTCGTTTGTTGTTCCCGGGAGTGACTGATAGCATCTCTGTCCCCAGTGCCCAGGTGTAGCTTAGGGCGTGGCACGTAGCCACGTGAAGGTCTCACTCTGCCTCCATCCCAATCGAAACCACCCTGCCAGCTGCGATGCTGACACCCCATCTACTGAGAGAGATCCCTTTAACCACATAGTCACGGCAGCCTGGGTTCTCACGTGCAAGCTCTGAACCTGACTGTGGCTAATGTAGAGCCAAAAGAATGGGTGAGGATGACATTGAACACCTCGGGGGGAGTCTCTGGAGAACCAGGCTTGGGGGCCGTGTTCGGCTGCAGGATCGGGCCCATACACATAACACCGGGTACAGACGCGGCGCCGGGAGCTGCCCACACCTTGATACTGGACACTGGGCTGGCCCCTGAAAGCACACCCCGGATGCCTTCCAAAGCAGACGCACCAGCTGCCGACCCCTTTCCAGCGGTGCTTCTGCACGGCCCATTGCCTTGGGCACCAGCTTCCAACTTAGACTTGGGACATGAATCTGATTTTCTGCCAGGCCCATGCTTTGCTCTAGCTGCGAGGGGGCCTGGGAAAGTGAGCAGCTGGCAGCTTTGCTCTAGAGTGGGGTTGAGGCTGTGCCTCATTCAGCATGGGGAGTCCTCAGAGAACAGGCTTCTGATGCTGGGGGCAGATGGAATGTCGATGCAGAGATTAAGAACGCAGATGACACCTGGGAAGTTCAAACGCCTTCACACCTGCTGGACACTTTGGGTCAAGGTGGCTGGGACGTCGGTCCATCTTTAGGAGCACGCAGCCCTGGATACCACGGTCACAGTCACAGGATGCTCTGAATCCATCTGTGGCCACATGACTCCAAAAGCACAAATCCAGAAGCATCCTGGACAGCTTTTCTAGAGCAGGATGGAGTCCTAGTCTTGATATAAACGAGGGTCACATGGCAGAGCTGACTGCAGTGCCCTGAGGAAATGGTGCCTTGCCTTTCGATAGACTTACCTAGGTGGCTTACGTCTCCAATGAATAGTATACACAGTATTTTTGCCCCCAGATATATATATATATATATATATATATATATATACATATATGTATATGTATATACATATATATATATATATATATATATATATGCACTTGTATATGTTCAATATCTATAGTATACAAATTTTATGAACAGCCGACCGTCTGCACTGCCCATCCCCCGGCCCGTGGCTCCTGTGGATGTGGAAGACCCCCCATGGGTGTAGACCAGGGCCTCTGGATTTTGAAATCCGTGCGGGTCCTAGAACAGATCTCTCTTGGATATCAAAGGACAACTCTATATAATTATATATGTATACTTTATATATGTAATCTGTATATCAACTGATGGAAAGATGGAAACGTAGGCAATGATCTGAGCATGAGTCAGGTCCCAAGGATTCCTTAGACTCAATCATTGCTCAACGCAACGTGAGGACCGAGGACTAAATTGCCGGTCTAAGCCTGTCCTCCGCTGCCCCCTAGTGGTGGATAAGGAGCTTACTGTGCAGCTGCTCCTCGGTGCTCCGTCGGTCCTGCTGCCTCTTCTCGTGGCCTTTTGGCATCATCACTATCTGACTCAAGACCATTCGCTGGAGGTGTTGTTCAGACAGAATCCAAGTCAGGCTGGGAGCTCGGACACAGCTAGTTTATTAACTTTTCCAAGGACCTGGATCTGGCATTTACATTACAGCCAGATCAGAAAAACTAATGTCAATGGAAAGTCTGGAGAGTGTCTGATCTGGAAAGACTCCCCCTGCCATCCCCAAGCGCAGGCTCACGGATCATCCCTCCTACCACAAAGAGGATCTTGGGGAATACACTAACGTGGTGATGGGAGTGAGATTTGGGGGGATGCTACACCCTGCAATGCGCTGACTGCAGGCGGGAACACAGTCCTAAGGGATGAGAAACATGGAGTCTGAGGAAGACGGGGTCTGGACCTCCATCTTGTCTTCTCACAGGTCTCCCTGGGCTTTTGGAACAGATTCAGCCTCCTTTGCGTTGTGGGACACACTTGCAATATGGATTTCAGTTGTGCTGGCATCAGAACCTGGAGAGGAAAAAAAGACTGTCATGTGACAGTGTCCGTGTCTGAGAACGTCCTTCACAGGCTTCACAACCGTCCGTATTTAAAAAGGAAAATTACATGATACTTTCATCCACATGTGGTTAAATCATTCCGAAGGACAAAAATCCTACAGAATCATCTGGGGCAGCTGATGTATGACTTCCCTGAAGGGAGGTGCACCCTGCCTCCCTTCCTCCAAACCTTGCCACTGGGCAGCTCACTGCATGTCAGCCGAACCCTGTGGATGCTGCAGCCCAAACGGAAACAGACTGTTGACACGGGGGAGTTTCGGAGCCCTGGGACACGCTGTCTAAGGGGCCCGAGATCTCAGTGCACTGTGGTGACGGTGGGCACAGCTGCCCCAGGGGTCACTCGGGGGCAACAGGGCTCCAGGGTCGCCCGGCCACCGGCTCTCAATTCCACGAGGTGCCCCAAGGACTCCTCTTACTGAAACTTAAGAGGAGGGACGTAGGTAACAATCAGAGTGAACGCAAACATCACTGCAGCCAAAAGAGTAATCCTGGAGGTCTGTTTAATCATCCCAACAACACGCCTTCCTTTAGAAGGTGTGGGAGATCTTTGCAACAGATGTCAAAATTGTTCTTTCTACGGATATCACTCCACAGATATCCAGGTTTGCCTGCTGGGTGTCAGGTTCTAGGGTGTGTGTGTCAGGAATACAGCGAAGGAAGACGCAGAGAAGGGTGGCCTTTTCAGCTGTGCATGGGGCAGGTGACTGCCCTTCAGGAACATCTCCAAATCCCAACTCCCTCCACCGAGAGGCCCCGCTGACGGCTGCAGCCTCCGCCCCTCATGTCCCTCTGCTCACTCACAACCTCCAGGCACATGCTTCTCTTACATCCAAGCTCAGTGCTGCCCCAGGGCCTTTGCACATCTCTTTTTCTGCCCGCAAAGTGCTCCAGATTTTCTCATGGCTCACTCCCACACTGCATTCAGGTCTCAACTCAAATGTTACCTCCTCAAGGAGGTGTCTGGGGCGCCTATCTACAGCCACTCTCCTGCCCCCTCTTGACGTGTTGTTCTTCGCAGCACTTCTGGCTGCCTTGAATATTGTACAGTTCTTTGAGACTTTCATTCACAAATGCTGATATAATTATTATATAATCATACGGAGAGTCTCAGTGGACAGCGCATTTGTCTACCTCAGTCACCACGGTATCTGTAGTGCCTAAACAAGCCCCCGGCACGATAAACTAACGTTGAATGGCTAAATACCGTGGGGTCACCGCCTTGACATCCGTGGGACACGGCGCAGGCACCTCAGAGCACTCATGGAGACTAACGTATAAAAACCGGCAGGAACAAGCCCGCAGTAAGAAGAGTCACAAGCAGGGGGAAAAGGAGAGGCCGTCAGCACTCTGTGGGCTTGGAGATGCCTGGGGAAGCCGGAGCTACAGGAACAGGTGACGATATGACCCAAGAGGACGCAAGCGCGGGGTCTGCCGCGTGGCCGACACACCACCGTCCCCACCACCGCCCAAACCCCACAGCGGCCTGCGCTGCGGGAGGCGCGCGGCGAGCACACAGGTCGGAGGGAGCCGCCCCAAGCGTGAAGAGCCCACCAAGGGGCGGGAAAGGGATTCAGGAGACGGGGGAAGGGCCGGCATCGCGGCTCCGAGGAGAGGCTGCGCTGCCCTCGGGGAGGGTGGGAGCGGGGAACCTGCGCTTCCGGCCGGAGGGGTTCACTGGCGCTTCCCCGAAGGCTCGGTTCTCTCGTGGGAACTTGTGTGCGATTTCTGTGGTCTTTTCAAAAGGCCTCTGGGTTGGAGGGTGACACGGGGGCTCGGGATCAAGATCTGGCCCGTGACCTGACACTTTGGGACATATTCTGCCCCCTTTTTCAGAGTTCCTGGGCTCCACGGAGGAGTCCCTTTTGTGTCACGACAACCCTGAGCTTCAGACGCCAGCGCTGCCGCTGAAAACACACACACACACACACACACACCCGCCCCGCGCCCCTGGCCCCCAGCCCCGCCTGCAACGAGTTGGCCTGGTGCTTGCAGCGTGGGCTTTCCAGCAGGCCTGCCTTTCCAATTGTTTTCTCGTCTGGTCTTAAAGTCTCTGAGAAGCAAATGCAAAGAGGCCATGGTGGGGGTGAGGGACTAATTCTCTGTCGGTGCATGTGCACATCTGAGTGCGCGTGCAGGAAATGCAGCCGCCAGCGACCTCCCAGTGCCCAAGGGCCGAGCGTCTTCCTAGCAACTCCCGGCAGGGAGCCTTGCAAGCCCAGGCAGGTTCTCGAGAACTTCCTGGCTCCACGCAGACCTGACATTTGGGAAGCCATGTTGGATGCCCCGGTGCCCTCAGCTCTTGCTCTTGGATCCCTTAAAACCTCGAGGCCCTAGATCAGAAATCCCAGCCAGGTGGTTAGCTGCATGAGCCATAGAGAGCGTACAACCCTTGGGCCTGCGTCCCCTTCAAGGTGTTGAATTGGGTCCCGCCAGCCCGAGAGTTGGAGGCCCTGGGCTGTGTTCCCTCCCACACGCCCCTGGCAAACACAACCCATGGCGCCACCTGGTGGTACGTGGAGGGGCAAGTGACGGCAGAGAGAATCACAAAGAACGAGGTGTATGAGAGAACAGAGAAATGGGGACGGTAACGGGGAAGTGTGGGAGAGAACAGGGAATTTGGGGAGGTGTGAAACTGTGATGGAGGATAAAGAGATGTGGAGAGACGCAATGGTGGGAGAGGGTACTGTGGGAAACGGCAGGAACTTGGATGGGCCGGGGGGTGGGTGGGGTGGAGATATGGAATTGCCAGGCAGAACAGAGAATTATGGGGAAGACAGTACTGTGGGAGAGACTAGCCGTTGTGGAAGAGAGGCGCTGTGAGAGACAGAACTGTGGGAGATGACGGGCAATTGTCAGAGGGAAGGAATTATGCTGGAGAACAGAAAACTCTCCGAGAAAAAGAATTTGGGGAGCGGTGGGATGCAGTAGCAAAAGGAACTGTAGAACACAACAGATGTGTGAGAAACCATGAAGAATCCAGAATTGTGGCAGAAAATGGGAAATTGTGGGAAGAGGATTGTGGGAGCAATAGGGGGCTGTGGGAGAAACAGAACTGTGAGAAAAGCAAGGGGTTGTGGGAGAGGATGGAGAATTGTGGGAACAACAAGGGGTTGTGGGAGAGGAAGGGCAATTGTGGGTGAGGGAATGGTGCAAGGACTAGGGTATTGTGGGAGGGAATTGTGGGAAAGACACTTGGGAGAGAAAAGACGTGCGAGAGAGACAGACAGACATATAGTTACGCCCCCCCCCCACTTCCATCCACTGTGTTCTGCATAGGCCACACGCTTCCTACCCGTGGACGCACTACATGTGCTCTCTTCTAACGACAGCCGCCTTCGTCTCCCCACATGCCCCGCGTCTCGGCCCTACCCCATTGACGCAATCCTTTATACCCTGTGGTCCATCTTGTCCACAGCCACACCCCTATCCCTGTGGCCACGCCCCTGGGCCACCGCAAGGGACGGCCTGTTCTCCTCAACGCCCCTCCCCGCCAGGCCTCTGCCTAAGACGTGCCCCCTTCGTGACCACGCCCCCAGCTCCACTGCCGTCCCGCCCTGCCACCAGAGCCGTGCCCCCTGCCGGTGGGCAGGGCTTGGGGGAACCTGGTCCAGGGTGACGTTGAAGGCTAGGGGAGCAGATCTGAGAAATACACCCCCCAACCTTTGAAGGCAATGGTAAGGTTAAAGTATCCATCAGATCCTGAACTTTTCCGTTGTGAGCACAAAGTGTCCCTGTTAAAGAAGGGCCAGAGATCTGACCCTAGGCTTCGTAAAGCTCATGGACAGAGGAAATAATATTTTAAGGTTTTCTGGCGCTCACCAGATAAAAACCAACTAGGTTTTTGCTTATTTGTGAGAAGTACCCTTTTTTCTTGACTTTTAGTTCCAAGGGAAATTCTGTCATAAAGATGCGATTTTGAACGAAGTTGTCAGAGAATTACGCACAGATCCCCTCAATGTTAGCTGTTGCCATGGTCACGAAGCATGATCATCCAATCAACTCTCCCACATCCATTCACTAGGCTAGTCCTACAAGCAAATCTGAGTGCATCTCTCCACTTAAAAACCTTAACTGGCCTCTCGCTGGCCACTAGATAAAATGCAAACTCCTTAGCAGAATCTGTAAAAACCCTTCGTTATCTGTTCCCGACCTGCCTCTCCAGCTTCCCACAAATCCCACGCTGTGGCCACCCCTGAACAACGTACAGACATTCTGCCCTAAGTCTCCACACGGGGCGCCCTCCGGGCTTCCTCCTCTCCCATTCCCGTCTGCGGTGCAAGACCCCGTCTGAGCATCACCTCCTCCAGAAACCCTCACCCATGCGCCAACACCAACGGAGGCCCTGCCTTTTCTGTGTTCCTTTAACGCGTCAGACTTTTTAGAATAAAATACAGCATTGTCTTTGCTTAACTGACACTTGCAAGTTTCCTACATGATACTCTTCCCAGGGACACTCACAATCCACACACACCGCCCCCGCCCCTCAGCTAAAATGCTGTTGACCATACTGCAGAGGCTCGATGAATATTTGTTCACACTCAGTTGACTTATGTCAAGTACCTGGTAAGTGCCAGACACCACGTCAGATACTTCCTATCGGAGGCTCAGTGTAAGCCTGTTGGCCTCGAAGTGAATCGGATATGATAAACCACTCAAGCTTCATCTTAACCAATGCAAACAGGGAGAAGCCTAACTGTATTTACTACTGCGAGTTTGCATCTCTGGGCTTTTCTCCCACACGTAATAGTACTTTCTGTATTATGAGTAGCTCCCTACCTTTACTAAAGAGACTAAAAGCAAAGTGGCTGGAAAGGAGGCGAAAGGAAACGGCCCAAGACCAAGCCAGCTGTATCTCATTTCCAAGATTACCACTGTAGACAGAAGGCTGCCGTTTCCTGAGGGTTCTGGCAGCAGCGTATACAGCCTGTGGTATAAGAACAGGAGCCTCCTGCGAGGGGATCATTCTGCCCTGGGCTTGTTTCCTGACACGTATCCACATCGTTTGCCCAGATCGCTCTGCCTTCATACTTTAAACGCAGACTGGAAATTTTCACAGACTCTCTCATTCTCTATCTCGCCAACGTTTGCTCCATGTCTCCGCTCAGGTTATGAATATGTAATGGGATTTATGTATGCTTACTAGAGTTAGCATTTATGGAATGCCCTCTGTGTCCCAGCACTATTTAAGCACATAGCACAAAGATCTATTTAATCTTATGAAAATCACTGTCGTTAGCACCCTGTTAGAGGTCAAGAAATACTGAATGAGATTTGCTGGAAGGGCTAGTCCTCAGCTCACCTGGAGGAAGCCGAGATGGACAGTCTTGGGCCCAGGAGCCACTAGCCCTCCCTGGAGGGTGTCATCGTGGCTCCTGCGTAGCAAGTCCATTCCTTATACTTAGACCATAGGTCACCTTGCTTCTAACCAGCTTGACAAATGTTGCTTTTATTCAAAGAAAGTGCTTATTCATTATAAAGTCTTACTAAAAAAGATGGTTAAGAAGATCTGAGCTCTTTTTTTCCCCAGCTCTTTTGAGATATATTTGACGTAGTACCCCAACTCTTATGTTACTAAGAATTCTTTATATCTTATGTCTAAGAAGTCTTTACATCTTACAGTTAATTACTCTTAGGCCTTTTAGAACTAATTTCCCATCAAAAATGTGTAATTTAACATAATTATTACAAACGACTGTTGGGCCCTTACCACGTGCAGTGGTCAAGCATGAGTGCAAGGCGGTACATGGGCTGCAGAGTGATGCATTCTGGTTAAAAGCGTTTTCAACCAGCCCCAGTGTAATAAAGTGGGAAGAGGGAGGGGCTTCAGGGCCCCAGTGGGGACAGAAGGAGGGCATGGGGTGGCCTCCTCCCCAAGCAGCATTTGTGGGAATCAACCCCCTGACCCCCAGAGGAGGTGCTGCAAACATGTGTCCGCTTCTTGTAACGAATTTCCAGTCTTGTTACTCAATGCTAACAGCAAAATATCTGCTCAAGAAGAATCTTTCAAGGGAATAAAGGTCTGCATAGACCAGGGACGGTAAAATTAATCAGTTATCATAACCATGACAGTCCCTGAGATTTCATTAGGAATAAGGATCATAGGTCTAGTGATTTTTCTCTCTCTTTACCCATCTTGATTAGAATATAAGTGAGCTTTCTGTAATAGTAAATTCAGAATACAGAGCAAATGATAAATTATAAGGTTACAGTATGTTTAATGAAAAGTACATATAATAGATTTATTTTTATATATGAATAGTATATATGAATATATAAATATAAAATGTATGTAATAGGTTTAGTAGAGGGCAATCTTTAGAGAAACATTATCGGGGCCTTGAACTTTCTTCCTCCTTGTCGGCTGGGTTAATAGACATAACCCCAAATCAGACTGAACAGGAGTTTAAAAACAGGACCAATCTGAGGACCACAGTGCTAGAGTCTTGAAATCAAAAGGGCAGATCAGAAGAGCCAGCACTGGACGACCAGCGTGTTACCTTAAATGTCCCCGAATGAGGTGGACAGACCAAGCTGCAACTAAAAGCTGCAGAGGTCAGGTTGTACCATTCATTGTCTTACAGCAAACGTTCAGGACAGGTTTGAAGTGGCAGTTTATCTCATATTCGAAAGGCCGTCCAGCCCAAGGTGGAGCCACTTATAATTATTACAAGGCTACAGGCTTAATAACTAGAGGAAAGGTACCACTGTCATAGTGAAAGGAGAGGTGGATGATGCAATGCGGGCCTAACGCTGTCACTTTCCACTCTTGCCTTGAAGCAGGTTCCAGACATCAGGACAGAAATGCTATGCACCAGCCACGTGGCCGTTTATAAAGCATTTCCAGGGGAGCCAGGGGAGCCAGGGGCCCCGCCGTCCGCCTGCCTTGGCGGAGGGGCTCTTACCTTCAGACAGCAGGCTCACGGCCTCGTCGGAAGTGTGCCCGCCGGCCCGCACTGCCTTCCCGGCAGCGGGGCTCTCCCAGGGCTCACGGGAGCCCCTCGGGGACGAGGGACCCCACTCGGTGGCCGAGGTGCTCATCGATTCCCACTGGATCTCCTTCCTGGGAGCCCAAAAAGCCGCGCGGCAGCCTGTCCAGCCATAGAAGGCCAGGGACAACAGGAACCCTTGGGCTGGATTCAGTATCCCCTGGCAGGGAGGACAGAGAGACAGGGGTGAGTCAGGGTGGGACCGTGGGAATCAGAGCACTGGGTGCTCTGACTCGGGGCCCGCTGGGCTGGCCTCACTGCAACCTGCCCCACTGGCCGGTGTGGGGCGAGACAGATTGGCTGGCGATGCTGGGCCCTCAAAGGTGCCTGAAGACACAGGAGGTGGGGTGGGGAGAGGACCTGAGTCAGACCAGGGAGGAGGCGGGAGAGGGAAGGCCCTGGGCAGCCCAGCCGGGCTGTCTCACCTCTGGTCCGTGGCCGTGCTCCCTCGCAGGGACTCGGGGCCCTGCCCCTCGCGCCCCTGGCAGCATGTGACTGCACAAAGGCACCTGAGCCTAACAGTCAGTCTAGGAAACTCTGCTTACGTGTGGTCCCTGCACGTGACCACAGCACAGGCAGGGGTGGAGGCAGTTAATGCGGGTCTCATCCTCCTGCATCAGCTTTCCCCCGACTCTGAAGCAACATACATTTTAATGCTGTGTAGGGCACCGTGCATCTCTCCACTAACAGCTCGTGTATGGCTCTTTGTATTTGGAAATGCGATATAATGAAAACACTGAGGGAAACGACCCATGCTCTTTCCAGCTTATTATGATTTTGTGTATTTCTCGCCAATATTTTTTCATGCACGTGTTACTAGGTAGTTGAAATCAGTATAATTTTTAGATCTTGCATTTTTCACTTAACGCTAGATTTCACGATTGTCATTTTTTTACACTGTCATCTTCAACGTCGGCAAAACATTCCTCAAGATCAAAGACCCCGTCGTTAACCGTTCCCTTTTGTTTAAAACAATGTGGGTTATCTATAATGCTTTATAATTACAGACAATGTTATAAGCAATACCTACATCCCTATGGTTTTTTCAGTCTGAAACATTTCTTCAAGAGAAATTCCCTGATATTTTAAATCTGCCTGAAAGGTTTGATTCACTTGCCAAGTTGATTTACCAGAGTCATATCCATTTAATAACGATCCCAACACTGAATGAAAATAGCTAGCTCGTGGACCCAGGCCAGATGTAAGCATCCCAGGAACCTACTCAACTCCCTGCATATTTATTTTTTGTTTGTTTGCTTTTGCGGTACGCGGGCCTCTCACTGCTGTGGCCTCTCCCGTTGCGGAGCACAGGCTCCGGACGTGCAGGCTCAGCGGCCATGGCTCACGGGCCCAGCCGCTCCGCGGCACGTGGGATCTTCCCGGACCGGGGCACGAACCCGCGTCCCCTGCATCGGCAGGCGGACTCTCAACCGCTGCGCCACCAGGGAAGCCCTCCCTGCATATTTAAATAACATGTAGATCATACTTCTGAGTGGTTTTATCCCTTCTGTTTTGTTTTTTTCTTTTTCTTTAGGGAGAACATTTTAAATTAAGATGGACCTACCATCATGAACCACGTGGTCTCGGCTGCATTTCTGACCTGTTTCAAAGAGCCTCCATTGATATCTGGTTGCATTTCAAGATAGAATAAAAGGATTTCATTGATGATATTCGACACCCAACTGTTAGAAAGAAAATGGCCCACAGGTGAAGAGAACATGTGACATAATTCTTTTTTTTTTTTTTTTTTTTTTTATGGCCCATATCAACAGAACTCTGAATTCTGAAAGATGTACACTGGTTAATTTTCTTTATGTCCCATCCTACATCTTCTCTTTCTTTCTCTGTGCCCCAAGAGGCCGAACCCGTGTTCCCTGCATCGGCAGGCGGACTCTCAACCGCTGTGCCACCAGGTAAGCCCCCATAATTCATTTTTAACGCTGAGGGTCAGGGACCATGCCTCCCGAGACCTAGAAGTCCTGGGGCGAGGGCACTGCCTGCTTGGCAGCAAGGAGAACGCAGCACACCAAGAATCTGACGTAAGACATGCCACCCCTCTCAGCCCAAAGCAGAGACCAACATATCCTTCCGATGGTCGCACTCAACACCACATCAGGTGGAAGGTTCTAGCACATGTCAAATAACCCAGAGTTCATCCTTCCTCTGAAGAGTAAGCTAATGTTTTGATGGAGACCAAAACAAATCTTGGCATTTTATGTTTGAATTTTTTGAGGTTATTGTTGGCAGGGAGGTGACGTTTGAAACCACAAGCTCAGTGTATTTTTAGAGGGAGCTAATTTACGTCTCTCGTAGGAGACTGTCCAAACAAACCTGCTCACATCACATCAGTTATTAACACCACAGAGGCGTGCTCTGTCTTGCGAAGCATTGCTTCACCACAGCGAAGTGTTTCCTGATTCCAGTCAATTTCGCATTGGTTACAGGTCTATGCCCAGCACACCCACTTGAAACGCTGGGGCAGGACACCTGTGGCGGGAGGGGGGGGGTGCGGTGGCCCAATACAGTGATGGCTCTGTAGTGTGCTGGCCCGGTGGTGGCGGGGGTCCTGGGGGGGGGGGGGGGGGGGTGCGGTGGGGGGAATGGGGGATGGGTGGACAGTTGAGGACAGGAAAATTGCTCTCTACGCTTTTTTTATTATTATTTTTAGTTTTTTGGCCGTGGCACACAGCTTGTGGGATCTTAGTTCCCCAATCAGGGATGGAACCCATGTCCCCTGCAGTGGAAGTGTGGAGTGCTAACCACTGGACTGCCGGGGAAGTCCCACTCTCTACCCTTCTTGCCTGAGCGGTGAGTCATAACACTAAAGATGGGCCCTTGCCCTTGTATCTTGTCAGATACAGGAATCCTGGTGTCAAAACTGATGCAGGGACTTCCCTGGTAGTCCAGTGGTTAGGACTCCAATGCTGCGTGGCAAAAAAAAAAAAACAAACAAACTGCTGCAAATGGGTGGATTTAGAAGGCACTTGATTTGAATGCTAACCCCAGTGATGGGGCAAAACTCCAGAGGCATATGGTTGGGATGCATCAAAACTAAACTCAGGACTTTTCGTTCTTAGGGCTCTTTATGTAGTTTGAGTAGATGTGAATAGCTTTCCAGAAATTCACGGATGGTAGACTTGCCTTCCTGTCTCGCAAGCATTTCCTCCAAAGGCACCTAGCACAAGTTTCAAAAATTTCCTCTCCAAAGACTCTTCCCTTTGGAACTTTCAGGTCACACTTGGAAAAGCAAATGACAGGCGGTTTGCATTTCCCTTCCCAGGGACAGTTTTTAAAAAAGAAGAAAGGTTACCAAATAATGAAAACCAGCATTATTTTGAAAAATCGGGTCTTGATCACGTCTCCCATCCGCCTCTCGTTCTCCGTGTAAACTCCTTGACTTCCTTTTAGTAAAGAGGCCACTGTAAAGAGCAGAGGGAACAGCACGTCATTTCGTTATGTACGATTCCCGCGTGCAAAGGAAGGGCAGTAAAGCAGGTGGGAGCTCCGAAGCACAGTCAGGAGAGCGTGACGCCCAGCAAGACCCTGCCGAGCTTTCCTCACTACCTCCACGTGGGACTTCTTGGAGACTCACGGCAATATCGAGTTTTTAAACGTTTACCATGAAATCACTTTAGATTTACACAAGATTTGCAAAGACAGTACCGAGAGTTCCCGTATACCTACACCCAGCTGTCCCCAGAGTTAACATCTTACACAACCATAGTCATATTGGTCACCATGAAGAAATCAACACTGGTACAGTGCTGTTAACTACACTCTGGATTTTATCTGGATTTTAGTAGTTCGGGAACTATACTTGTTTACGGTTTATATTTTTTTACTATAAAAATAATGCATGCTCACTATTTTAAAATGTTGAAAGATTTGACATCCTTGTAGACAAGTTGGAAAATATAAAAGAGTTTAGAAAAGAATTGATAACCCATAGTTCACCCAGAGATAACCATTGTTAGCATCTTAGTGTATTTCCTTCCAGTCTTTTTTCTATAAGTCATTTCCATTTGTTTGATGTAATCAAATCACTATTTTTTAATGCAATTTTGTTAAAAAAAAAAAAGCTATATTTAATAGACTAGTTTTTTGGGGGGAGGGGTTTTTTGTTTTTAATTTTTATTGGCGTATAGTTGATTTACAATGTTGTGTTAGTTTCAGGTGTACAGCACACTAGTTTTAAATGCAGATATGCAAAGAGAGATCCAAAGAGCTGCAGTGATGTTTCTCTCCCTAGTGGTAGAGCATTTCACTTAGGTTAAAGTTCCACAACCCACAGCTCATCATCAAGTGACCTTTCTGTGTGTTTCTTTCTTCTCATTCTGCCCCTGAGGGACCCACAGGGCGGCATGAGGGGCCTGGAGACTTGCCTCGGGGCACGTTTCCTTGAGGATGGGATGGGGGCTGGAATGCAGGTCCCCTGCCTTGGCCCAGAGGTCTGTCCAGTGCATTCTGCTGACTCACAAGATCCCTCTCACCCAGTTCTTCCTGATGCATTTGACTCACTTCCTGTGCTCTCCTTCCTGTTTACTGCCCAAGTGGGAGAAGACACAGGCCCAGACATCACGGGAGGGCCCAGGCTCCCGGGACGGCTCAGTCCACATCCATCCCTTCCCCTCGGCTGCCCTTTCCTTTCCTGCTCCCGTCTCCCCTCTGCAGTTTTCCAAGGCCACTCGGGTCCTCTGGGGCACGCCAGTGGCAGACTCAGGATGAGCCCAGACAGACGTGAAAAGTCCCCTGGTCCCGGCTTTGAGCTAGCAGACGTTGGCCAAGGACTCGTACAGCCCATAATTGAGTAGGCTCGCTCCCTATCGTTTATTAAACCTCCTCACTTTCCCCAGCTGTATTGAGCTCCTGTCTGGAGGATGACAAATGAGGTCTGTGGTCCTAGATAATGATCAGAGCCCGTGGCCTGGGGCCGTAGCCGCGGCCTCGCCCCCAGAGCACTTCCCTGCGGTTTACCTGCAGTCACTGTCTTTCGGAACAGGATGGGGTTGGCCACAAGGACGAGCAGCAGAGGCAAGTATGTGGTGACATAGTGGGGGATGGCGTGCTCCAGACCCCTCTCACACCTGAGGGAGGAAAGCCGGGTCATTCTCGAAAAAAACCGGGGCTTTGCCTGAGATACACCGACTTATCTGCAAGTCGAGATAAGAGGACCAGATCTGCAAGTCGAGATAAGAGGACCAGATCTGCAAGTCGAGATAAGAGGACCAGATGGAAGGAAACACACAGATCGACTTCTGACTCTGCCCGAAGGAAACCTGACTCATATCTCACGTCTGCGGACAAGCATAAATCACAGAAGAAAGAGGATCAGTCATGGTTCTGTGTGTCTCGTGAATCAGGGAGCTTTTAAAGTTCCCTGCTGGGAAAAGGTGAAGAGAGGAAAAGGCTCTCTGGGGTGGTGGATCCCCCCCCCCAACTCCCCCACCGGGTCTCTCAAACAAGTGGGGCTCCCCCTACTTGTCTTTCAAACAAGACAAAGGCGTCCTATGAACCTGCTGGGTTTTCGGCACTTACTACATATGTGCTAAGCCTGGCTGACATCACGCGTAAGATCCAAGCTCTGTCCTCGACCAACTCAAAATACCCAAGCCTCACACTGCACAGGATATCTGTTGTCATGGTGACAGGTAATCATTTCAGGGGTTCTTTTCGGGGAGGTGGACCCGGATTTCTACTGATGGGTCTTGAGAATCATCCATCACCACAGGACACGGTGGGGTGCCACACACAGGTATGCTACCAAGGCCGGGGCTATCAGTTAACAAACACATAGTATAGAGGAAAATGGCGAACAGCAAGAGAGAATCCAAAGCAGAGGGGATGTTGCCCAGGCCCGACCCCAGACAGGGTGGAAAAGCAGAGGAGGGAACAGCTCCTGTGGCCACGGAAGGTGGAGTGATAGAAATGCTACTGCTCTCGTTTTCATATGTATGAAGTGCTCACACCAGAGGGGAAAGTGGCTGAAAGTGCATGGAAACAGGTAAGAAAAATGCAGTGCCCATCTTTGCTACCTTAAGGATGACAGTACCACCTGAGGATGGTGCCTTCTTTTTGTTTTTTTGTTTGCGTGTTTTGTTTTTTACCCTGAAAGCCGTATATTATTGGAGTATGGTTGACTTACAATGTTGTGTTGCTACCTTCTTTTTTTTAATTTAATTTTTTTTTTTTGCTACCTTCTTTTTAACAGAAGCTTTCCTCTTCAGCTGTGAAAGCTAAACTGTGGTCTGGAAGGGCTTGAGGGGAGAAAGGGAAACAAGAGGGGGAAGAGATGAGATTCGGGTGCCCATACTGAACGTAAGGAACAAATGAGAGAGGGTGGCAGCCTGCAGAGCGCCAAGGGCTCTGGGTCGTCGTGGGCTCTGAGGATGGATATGAGGAAGGATGGAGATGCTTCAGGGGGGCGACCTCGTGGAGACCGCGGGGCACCTTGGCGTTCCTGAGTGTCCTGCAGCAATGGCTCCCTCGCGCTCAGACGCAACGTCCCCAGGATCTCACAGGTGGAGGCCAGAGATAAAAACTCCCTTTCCAATTAAGCGCATCCGTCTGTAACAGCTGCTAACTCTGTATTTGTCCTTTTAGGGTTCCTGGGGAGAGTGGGCTGTTTGGAGGGATCTACACAGAGGCCACAAAGCAACACCAACGTGGAGACATCTGAGTGAGTGGCTACAAGAAATCGAAAAAGAAGGGGCAGAAACGGTCTACACCACAGGTCAGCAAACTTTTTCTGTAAAGGAGCAGATAGTCAATATTTTAGCCTGCAGAACCCTCATAGCCTCTGTCAAACTACTCAGCTCTAACGTGTAAAGCGGCCATAGACCATACATACACAAATGGGCACGGCAGTGTGCGAATAAAGCTTTATTTACAAGAGCAGGGCAGAGGGCAGGATCTGTCCTGAGGGCTGCGCTGTGCTGATCCTGGGTGTACACTGCCCTGAAATCACAGACAAAGAGATAATGTCCAACCTCTGTTTTCCAGCTTTCCACTGAAAATTAGAGTATATATCCTTGGAGGGACCTTGAGGCTTCACAAATGGTTGCACTGATGGGGTTTTAAACTTGAAGAAATGCCTGAGACAATTTCAGAGGCCACATCGCCCGGTGTCTGTGTTCAGAACAGCACAGGATGGAGAGAGGTGAGAAAGTGCAGACAGCAAAGGCTTAAAATAAGCTCGTCAAGAGTGAGTGACCCTTTGTGTCTTCCAGCCATCTTCAACTCATTCTTGGGACGTTCAACTCACCTACCTGCTCTCCCAGAGGAAGCTGGTTTGAAGAATGAAAAATAAACAGTGGGCAGGGGAAGGCTGCATCCGTCTGGAGGGGGACAGGCCTGGAGGCTGGCACACAGGCTGGTACAGGGGAGCCGTGCCCCCAGCTCTGAATCCACACCGCGCACAACACCGACCCACACGCACAGGACAGGCAGAGGCAGGGACACTAACTCAAGGTGCCAGCCACTGTGCTCTCAGCTGCACAGATCCAGGACGATGGCCTGCCCGCCCGCTCGGGGTCAGCGCCCGGGCGTCTCCTGCAAGAGAGGCGGGGGGGTGGGGGTCCAGGCATCGGGGGAGTGGGCTTGCTGGGAGCCCCGGCTTACCTGGCCACGGAAGGGTAGTACAGCATGAATGCTCCCTCTACGCAGAGCAGTGCGGCCAGGCCCCAGGCCATCATGTGGTAGAGCAGGATGGTACTGGGGGAGGAAGGGGCAGAGGGGCGGCCACGCCTGAGGTCCAGCACTGAACAAGCCCCGAGCTCCGCGAGCGGCAGGAAGATGCACCCAGAGCAAACCCTTGGCAAACAGCTGCCTGATTTTGCCTGTGAGGTTTTTATTTTTCCTCTGATTGAGGTGAAATTCGTATAACATCAAACTCACCGTTTTAAAATGAGCAACTCAGCGGCATTTAGGACATCTACAATGCTGTGCAAGCACCACCTCTATCCAGTTCCAAAACATGTTCATCCCCCCAAAAGGAAACCCGGACCCATTCAGTGGTCTTTCCCCATCATGCTTGTGCCCCCAGCCCTGGTAACCACTCATCTACCATCTGTCTCTATGGATTTGCCTATTCTGGACATTTCATCCAAGGGGAGTCATACATGACGTGGCCTTTTGCGTCTGGCTTTCTTCCCTCAACCTAAGTCTTTCAAGATTGAAAGGAGGGAACTTGCCTGGTGGCACAGTGGTAAAAACTCCACGCTCCCACTGCAATGGGCCCGGGTTTGATCCCTGGTCAGGGAACTAGATGCCACATGCACGCTGCGACTAAGAGTTTGCATACCAAAACTAAGGAGCCTGCATGCCTCGACTAAGGAGCCCGCCTGCTGCAACTAAGGAGTGCGCATGCTGCAACTCAAGAGCAGGTGACCGCAACTAAGGAGCCTGCCTGCCACAACTAAGACCTGGTGCAACTGACTAACTAACTAAATAAATAAATAAAAGATTGAGAGGAGTGAGGCACGGGTACCTCATAATTCCTCCTAAGTGCCTGGCTCCCCCAGTAGTAGGCAAGCACCTCCAGGCCTCTGTCCTTCCCGAAGTCACCTCCGTACCTAATATGCAAGCGTCTTAGTGCTCAGTCCAAACCAAGAAGGTCTCTAAGAAATGGGTGGTTATTCGACGTTCCAGGACAGCGGGGAGGTTTCCTATCTTGTCCCCCTACCCCCCATTCCCTGCACAGTTCAAATTCTCTCATCGTTACCATCTCCATCCTTCATCTCTGTACTCCCACGCACCCCACCCTGTCCCCCTGAGAGATTCGAGGCAGCCAGCCTTGCAGGTGGGGTCAGGACGATGGACCACCTGAGCCTGTGCAGGGCTACCTCGCTCTTCCAAGACAGCCTTCGTTTGCCTCTTCTGTGCAATGGGACGTGGCCCGGGGCTGCTCCCTCAGAGGGGCCCACTGTTACTCAAAACTCTGCCAGATGGGACTTCCCTGGTGGCGCAGTGGTTAAGAATCCACCTGCCAATGCAGGGGACACGGGTTCTAGCCCTGGTCCGGGAAGATCCCACAGGCGGCGGAGCACCTCAGCCTGTGCGCCACAGCTACTGAGCCCGTGCGCCACAACTACTGAGCCCGCGTGCCACAACTACTGAAGCCCACGCGCCTAGAGCCTGAGCTCCGCCACAAGAGAAGCCACCTCAACGAGAAGCCCGAAGAGTAGCCCCTGCTCGCTGCAACTAGAGAAAGGCCGCGCGCGGCAACAAAGACCCAACACAGCCAAAAATAAATAAATAAAATAAATTTTAAAAAAAACCTCTGCCAGACGCCCGGCAGAGTGCAGCCCCAGGCCCATGAGGACTTAAACCCTGCGGGGCCGCCGCCGTGGGGACAAAGGGCGTGGTCAGGGATGCGGTGAAGGACGCCCTTCTACAAGGAGACAGGAGGGAAGAGAGATGGCCCAGAGGCCATGCTTCAGGGAGGAAACACTGCACAGCTGGCCCACTGGGCGGCCACGCGGACGCAGCTGCACCTTCGCCTCCCCTGGCACTGCTGGTTCTGGAGCAGCCCTTCCCTGCCCGTCCGGCTTCGGGAGCGCGCGGGGCTCTGTCCTGCCCACAAGTCACAGGCTTTGCCGGACACACAGGAAACTAAGGAGCAGCTTTGCGCAGGGGCTGGGCTGTGGCAGGGTGGCATCTGCGTTCCGGACGCCAAGCCTGGGCTGCAAGGAGCCGCTGGGGTCATCTCCTGGGTGGGAGGGTGAGGCCAGCTCGCGCTCCCCAAAGCCCGGCCCTCGGTTCCCCCCACCCCCGGCCCCCAACGCCCACGACGGGGCGAAGTCAGAGCCGGGCCGCGGGACCCAGGCCGCGGCCACGTCAATAACCGATACAGCCAGAAAGCCACACCCCCGTGGCCGTGGCGGATGGGTCCGGAGCAGCCCCGGCTGAAGACCCTCTTCCCCTTTTCTGACGGCAAGCCAGCTTCCACGTGCAGGCACGCGAAGGCCCCCCGCCCCCCACGACCCTCTTTGCTCTCACTCTCTCCTTTTCTTAGGCAAGCAGAGCTTTTCCCGGGATCTCAGGTGCCGGCCGGCATGGCGAAAGCGTGCGTCTCCCGCACCTGGAGCCCAAGAGGCGGCTTACATGATAACTTTCAATCTGCCTTAATGACACTGCTTCGGGAAAATTCTCCCGCGCCAAAGGCAACAGCTAAATGCTGGAAGGATCTAGAAGGGAATGTGGAGTTTAATCCAGCCATACCGGAGAAGTCTGGCCCCCTGCCTGGGAATTCCTCGGGACCCCTCTCCACCAGCTGCAGGTTCTTCATTGCCACCTACAGAATCCAGTCCACCCTCGGCTCCGGAAACAAGCTGGCGATTCAAAGAGGGGCTCCAGAGGCTCTGGAGCCACAAGCTCAGCTCTGGCTCTAAACCACCCAGGGCTGGCCCCTCAGAGACCTCACCCTGGGAAGCGTGACTTGTGCTAGAGACGAGGTCGGGGCTGGGTCTCTGTGACTAGAGAGCACCCGTCTTATTTCTCTGCTGTGTGCCCGCTCCTTTTTGATGGGAGAGCCCACTTCACTGCCAACGGTCTTCCTAGCCCTGGAACCCTGCCCTTGGGAGGCATCTGGATGTTTGGCATCCCTGGAGGGCGGCCTCCTGTTTGATGGGCAGGTCCTTGGAAGCCTGGCGTCCTCTAGTCCCTGCACATCCGCAGACTTCTGCCTATCCTAACGCCAAGCTCCAAGATGAATTCCAAACACCCGCCGGGGTGTGAGGAGGGCTTCCTGATCGCCTGTCCTGGCTTCTGAGGGTTCTGTCTGTTCTCCGGGTCCAGAGAGCTGTCACTCAGCCCTGCCCAACTCCAGTCCCTCACGGGTGGAGGTGCATTTCCTAAGACAGCAGGAGACGTACTCTTCTAGCTTCTGTTCGGCGCTCCAAGGTTCCTCTTATCTCCACAACTCAGTGGTGGTCTATAAGACCCCTAACTGTGTCATAGCTCCGATCCCTCCCAAACTGAGTGAGGGAACCATCCCACTTGCACTCAGCTTCAGGGACAAGGTCTCCTCATGCTGCTTGCTGCCTACCCAAAGTTATTCTCCCCTTTTTCCTCAGCAACAGAACCTGGATGTCAGGCAGAGAAGCAGCACTTAGATAATCAACTATATTTCCTACCTCCTCTTACAGCTAAGTGTGGACAGAAAACTAAGTTCTGGCCAATAACATGAAAATGTTATTGTTGTGTAAAACTCCCATGGACAGCAGGCCTGCTTAAAACAGCTCCCTGCTTAAAGGGATCTGGCTCAGGGGACAACAGGCCCCTTTTGCATTGCCCCCTACTTCCTTCCTGTTTTCTGGAATGCTGATGTGATGACTGGAGCTCCAGCAGCCATACTGGGCCATGATGCCTTGAAGATGGAAGCCACATAATAGAATGGTGGAGCAGAAAGAGAGAAGGAGCTTGGGTCCCTGATTTCCATCATAAAAGCCCTAGATTGCCTACCTCTGGCCTCTTTTAGCATGAAAGAGAAATTCCTATCTTAAGTCACTATTGTTTTATGTATTTTATGTAGCCAAAACTAATTCTCACTGATATGCCTGGTTGGCAGCCTTTAACCTGAACTATCTTCCCTGTAGAATTTTCACAACCAAGTATACCTCGGTTTTGTACAGACATGTAAGAGCTTGGGAACTAAGGCAAAAAGGTAGAAGAAAGAAACGCGAAAATGAAGAGAGTACTAAATTTCAGGCCAGAGAGACAAAGTGAATGATGTGATATACGTAAGGAATACCAAGGATTTCAGAGTGGCGATTCACTAAGATTGCCCAGTGCAGTCTATAGCCTTAATATGGTCTTTATTTGGTTACTCACGTTGGTTTTAAAAGTGAATTTATTCAACCAGTGGTGCTGGGGCAACTGGATATCCACCTACAAAAGAATAAAGGCGGACCTATCCTCACCTCCACACAAAAATTAATTCAAAGATCTAAATAAAATTGTTCAAACTATAAAACTCTTAGAAGGAAACAAAGGTATAAATCCTTGTGACCTCGGGTTAGGCAATGGTTTCTTAGATGACAGCAAAAGCACAAGAAATAAGAGAAAAAAACACAAAAACTGGATTTCATCAAAATTAAAAACTTTTATGCTTCAAAAGGTACCATCAGGGCTTCCCTGATGGCGCAGCGGTTGAGAAGCCGCCTGCCAATTCAGGGGACACGGGTTTGAGCCCTGGTCTGGGAGGATCCCACATGCCGCGGAGCAACTAGGCCCGTGAGCCACAACTACTGAGCCTGCGCGTCTGGAGCCTGTGCTCCACAGCAAGAGAGGCCGGGACAGTGAGAGACCCTTGCACCAAGATGAAGAGTGGCCCCCGCTTGCCACAACTAGAGAAAGCCCTCGCACAGAAACGAAGACCAAACACACAGCCAAAAATAAATTAATTAATTAATTTAAAAAAAAAGGTACCATCAAGTAAGTGAAAAGACAACCTGCTGAATGAGAGAAGGTATTTGTAAATCATATATCTAATGAGGTACTCGTATCCAGAATATATAAAGAACTCCTATAAATCAATAATAAGACAAACAGCCCAGTTAAAAACTGGAAAAAGGAAGCGAAGACGTATTTCTCCAAAGAAAGTACACGAATGGCCAATAAGCACATGAGAAGATGCTAAACATCATTAGTCATCAGGGAAATCAAAACCACAATGAGATGCCACTTCACACACAGTAGGATGGCTAAAATCTCAAAAAAACAAACAAACACACAGAAAACAAGTGTTGCTATCAAGGAGGCAGAGAAACTGGAACCATTAAACATTGCTGGTGCAAAGGTAAAATGTTACAGAGTCTTTGGAAAGCTGTTCAGCAGTGCCTTACAAGGTTACACAGAGTTACTATATGACCCAGGAATTCCACTCCAAGATGTATACCCATAAGTATATGGCGAAAACATATGTCCACACAAACACCTGCATACAAATATTCATTGCAGCATTATTCATAACAGTCAAAACAATGGAAACAATCTAAACGTCCAGTGACTGATAAACGGGTAAAATGCAGATAGCGAAACAATGGAATATTATTCATCAACGCACAGGAATAAAGTACTGATGCGTGCCACAATATGGATAAATCTCGAAAATAACAAGCCAAGTTTAACGAGCCAGATACAAAACGCCACATACTGTATGATTCCATTTACAGAAACTGTCCAGAACAGGCAAATCTAGAGACAGACAGTGGATGTCAAGTTACCAGGAGCTGCGGGAGAGGGAAGAACGGGAAATGACTAGTAACCAGTACAGAGATTTGGGGGATGAATAACACGTCATAAAACCAAATAATGGTTATGGTTGCACAATTCTGTGAATATGCTCACAAACAATGGATTTTATACATTTAAACAGATGAACTTTATAAAGCTATTTAAAAAGAAAAAAAGCAAACAAGGGCTCCATGCAAAGGGGGCCTAATGGAAGTGCACCACAAACTTGGTCGGGGACCCATCCTTCCTGGGCCTGGAGCCAGGAGACCAGGACACCCGCCGTGCCCTCCTGCTTCTCTTTGGCACGTAGGTTCTCTGTGTTTCTGTCTCCTCCATAACGTGCACATCCCAGCTCCAACCCCAGCTCCCAGTTACTGATCGCCTGCTATGTGCCAGGCTCCATCCATAACCATCCACAGGTACTATCACGTTTACTGTTCCCAGGAACCTCCTGAGGTGGGTACTGTTTTACAGCTGAGAAAACGGAAGTCCAGAGAGGTTCAGCCACTTGCCAAGAGTCACACAGCTAGTGAGTGACAGGGCAGGAATTTGAACCCACCAGGACAGAGGCACTAACCCTTCCTGGGTTCCTCCCAGGCAGGCCCTGGCAGCTCCAGAACCCTTGGGCTCCATATTTAGCATCCTGTATCAATACATACATCTAAGAAATTTTTTCCTAAACCTTTAGACACCATCAGAATTTTTTATTTTCATGCCAATTCTTTTTTAAGTCTTTGTCGTGTTCCAAATATTTAATTTATTGAAATACTGTTTTCAGGGTTTTAAAATCCTGTTTTTTTCTTGGTAGGGGGCACCCGGAGAAATCCTCGATATTTCGATTGTACCTTCAGCCTTTTATAAAAATAAGCTGGCACAGATGTTTCTCGGTGGAGGGGTCAGCTGCAAGGTTCTGATCAGCTGTGTCTGCCGTACAGAGATGCAGCGCTCAGCGGCATCTCCAACCTTCCCTCAGGCAATAAACTAGGGCAGAAGCCAGCTGGCTTGCTCTGAATACCTCAGTCCCGCCGATCTCCGGATCACCAGGTAGGCATCGACCGCATAGCAAAACAGCCACCAGAAGCAGGCGCTGTACAGCAGCTGGATCCACATCTGTAATCGGGAAGAGCCGGCATCAAAGCTCCTGGACATGGGTTCCAGACTGCCCCGTCCGTGAAATGAGCTGGCAGACGCCCACTTCCTCTGACGTCACGGGGCAGCAGATGAAAGCCCTCCGGAGAGGCTTGGAAACCCAGGCTGGGATGTGGCCTGGGACGGGCATGTGCCTTGGTGCCCTGTCCAGCGAGCCCTGCCTTGTGCTACGCTTGTGGTCAGGGAGATAAAGGGTTCAGGTGTGCAGCTTGGCCTGGCATGAAGGTCTTTGAATGAGAAGACCTTTTGCTGAGGACCAAGGAGGATGGGCAGGAAGGACCTTCCCAGTAGAAGGAAGGCGGCGGGGGACGGGGGTGGGGGGGCTCCGTACGTTAGAAGCAGCACAGAGATCTATATACTAAGACGGAGGCTCCATCGGGATGCAGCTGGGAAGCGACAGAGGGGAGGAAGGGAGAGATGCTGACAGTTGTGGCACAGATGGCGGGTCAACAGGGTATCAGTGTCCTTTGAGGTCATTCACTGGAGTGTTAACTTGGCGGACAGAGCAATATGGATGAACAAATTGCTATATTTAAATATATATTTTGTTAAGTAAATACATCCATTAAATCGATAACTTTTTTTTCTTTCTTTTTTGGCCAGCTGGTTTTGATTGTGGCTGGATCTAAGGTAAGGATTGAATGTGTGTTTAAGGGTGGGGATGGCAAACATACTAGCACGGTGGTTCTAAAACTGGAGTGAGGGTCAGAGGCCCCTGGAGGGTTTGTTAAATCACAGACAGCCCGCACCCCAGGGTCCCTGGTCAGTGGGGTGAGGGCTCTGAGCATGTGCATTTCTAAAAGCTACAGTGGGCTGGCGGGAGGGATGCGACCACACTTTGAGGACACAGCGTAATGGAGCGGGGCAAAGGGGAGGGAAGGGGGAGACCAGGGGAGGTACACTTACTGCACTCCCCATGCAGAAGACGGCGGGCCACACATCTGTCCCGTTCACGGCTGAGATGTCGTCCACGAAACTCGGAAACCCTAACCACACCGTAGACCGGACTGTGATACCTAAGGGAGAATCAGGTGATGCTTTGTATCTGCTCCTAATGCAAATCTAAAGGTGACTTGTTGACTCTAAAAATGATGGATGGACGGATGGATGGATGGATGGACAGATAGGCAGATAGACAGATAGACAGGAGGGGAAAGAGAGAGATGTGAGGGAGATAGGGAGGAAACAAACACACGCTGGTGTGTGCAGAGAGACAGAGAAAAAAATAAGTCTCAGAAAATAACTATTATGGTAGTGGAGCAATCCCAGGCACTTTGATTTCAACTTCAGCCACCATTAGCCACAGTGCTGTCCGTAATGTTGTCTGTTTGTTTATTTGGCGCCCAGAAGTGATTATGTCAATAACAATTTATATTTCTTGGCTATATATATATATATATATATATATACATATATATATATATTTTTTTTTTTTTTTTTTTC